TATGTTCCTATTGCAAATTTCAGACAGTGTATCCAGATTTACTTTGAGTAAAAATACGACACACACACTAAAAGAAAAAGAAACAAAAGCTTCATTGAAATAATTTCTTTACTAATAACAAAGAAGCATTACAGACAAAATGAACACAAAGTGTGTACATAAGGCATTTACGATGCAGAAATTACCAGTATAACCAGCTGTATAACCAATGGAGGGGCTAAATTCAACAATTGTTGCTTACATTTATGTATTTGATTTGAATATTTATTTATTTTGGGTTGGGGGAGGGCATTGAGTGTTTTTTCCCCCTTTTTTGGAGCAAAGTTTTTTTTTTTAAACTAAAATGTTTTGTGGGGTTCTTTGAAAAGGATCGTGTCTACCTGCATAAAGGATCACATAAAAAACATTTAAAATATTCCTGTGGACCTGAAAGTCACTGGGGGTTTCTTTCCCAGCATATCATGGGGTGAGAGGAACGGTACACCCTGGACAGGTAGCCAGTCTGTCACAAGGCTAAAACAGAGAGAGAGAAAATAATTCACGCTTACAGCCGATTTAGAATCAGCAATTAATCGAACATGCATGTCTTTGGACAGTGGGAAGAAGCCAGAATACCCAGAGAGAACATGCAAATTCCACACAGAAGGATTCAAACCCAGGACCTTCTTGCTGAGAGATGCTACATACTGCACCACCATGACACCTAAAGTGGAAGCCTGGATGAATTCAGGCACATATCTGAAAACTGCTGCAAGTGAATAAAGTTTGTCACCACAGATGCAAATTAAAACAATACAACCCCTCCAAAAATGCATACAGAAATATGCTCACTGTCTTCAATTGTGAAGTGGAAAGTGTTGACATGAACGCAGAGTTTAAAAGCCAGCATCCGTGATGGTAAAGTGCACATTAGTCTGCATAGTATGGAGAACTTGCACACCTGTGAAGACCCCAATAATAACGAATGATAAATATAAGTAATATGTGAAGATATGCTGCCATCGGGGTGACAGCTTCCTATGGAGGGCCTCACTTCCTTTTTTTAACAAGACAGTGTCAAAACACATTCAGCATGTCTTTTAACACTAAATCGAAGTGCTGAGCAGCTGTTCCTTAGATCAAGCAAAAATAAATAAAAAGGATAAAAGAAAACTGCAACAATTGGTCTCAGAACACTTACATGTGTTATGGAGTAATATTAAAGTAATGGGACTCATACTGGAAAGTAAAATCAACCCTTTCATAAGCAGTGTTGGGGAGTAACGGAATACATGTACCGCCGTTACGTATTTAAAATACAAAATATGAGTAACTGTATTCCGTTACAGTTACCGTTTAAAAAG